AAAAAAAAAAAAAAAAAAAAAAAAAAAAAGAGAAAAGAAAGAATGCAACAAAAACACAATAAAAATTAAAACTGCAGTACCCTCTGACCCGATGTTTTCTGCGCACAAAAAAATTACTAGTTTTTCAATAGATATGAAGAGGATAAAAAAAGAAAAAACAGAACCAACGGCTCTAGAAAGACCATTTTACAAAAATTATTCAACTTTCACGAATTTTAAAGCAAAGCTTAACTAATCCTTGATGCCTAAAAACATAACTTATTATTGAAAAAACCTAGACGAATGAAAGAATTATTTCACTAAAGCATTTAAAAACAGCACTGATAAGCATTATTTGAATGTTCAACAAACAAGAAATGAAAGACTGAACAAACATTAAGTTCCTATTTGAATAATAACTGAATTAGCATTGACTTTGTTGTATTCACCCAAACAGTTTCGCGAAATATCTGATTTACAGTTAAAAGTCAATCCTAAAAGTGGATTGCGTATCAGGATGAGATTTCGCATACATTTCAGACTGCTCTGCGACCTTTTCACCATCCAGCAATTCTCCCGAATAGGATAACGGTGGCCTAATCCTCATGTTCTCTGATCGTGATTTGCTCTTCAAAACATTCAACATTTCACTTCTTAACTTTTCAAGAATTGCTCGGTTTGGTTCAAGTGACGAACTACCCTTATCTCGCGAACCTAAAACTCCTTTACTATTACAAAATCAATCCTGCATACTATAAACCTGACCAAAATATTAAAAAAGAAAAAAACGAGCAAAAAAAAATGTACGAAAAGAACCTTGTAATTTAATGATACTTTGCCGACAACGCCTAGCTTCTTGATGCTTCTGCTGCGTTTCCTGGCCATATAAACGAATAAGTGATCCCCAATTATCAAACTGAAATTTAATTTAGACTTCAACATTACGCCAGTTTAAACAAACTCAAAAAATAAATAAATTGATAAAATAAAAAAAAGTAAAGAATCATAAAATCTATTAAACTATTCTGAACTAAAATGATTTCCCCGTAAAACCTTACGGTTTCATCCACCCGTAAATCTCCTAAGTCTTAACAATAAAACCAGCATCCAACTATGCAAAATCAAACTTTCTATCCTTTTCCTTGTTAAGACATCCTGTTTGAAAATTTTGATTCTGTTCATTTTTAAATAAAGCAAATAACCTTCGTGATTTCCAAAAAAACGTCATTTGTTTGTCGAAAAAAAATTAAATTCCATATTAGTCTCACCAAACTACAAAATTTATTGAAGAAGAACTGTAACATTTCCAAAAACTTTCCTGAATGCTGAAAAAAATAAAAAAAAAAGAAAATAGATAACAGTCCTAGAAAAGAAACCTTATGATGCCAAGATTTGAATATGAGTGGTTATAACCTACCATCCGATCAAAATTTTAGGACTGCGTATTCAAGTCTGGGAAATAAAACTTGGAAGAAACTTAAAATGCTGGATAACCGCTTTCAAAGACAATGAAACTAAACCTATGAAGAGAAAAATCCAATCTGCTAGTCTAAAAAAACAATAAAAGGTCATTTAAAGAATACCTGTGGATGCAATTTCTTTAACATTGCCTGAGATGCCATTTGTTTACCTTCCCGTTTGTTTGAGCAAATAACAGAAACCCTGTGTTTTCCAACATCCATATCAAACTTATGCTTTTGGTGTTTTACCCTTTCTGAACGCAACTTAATTTCTGTGTCACCGTGAACAGCATGTCTTTTCAAGCATTCCTAAACAAGAGAACATTATGAAAAAATCTAGTTAAAAAAAGCAGTTTAAGAACCACATTGGAATTCGATTTACAAATAAGTTCTAAACAACCATATTATTAGTGTATCAGTTACAAGTTTTCACTAAACAATACCTGTAAAATTAAGTATGGTGATGGTTGCCCAGCGCGTGCCGATAAATCCGGAATACGTGAATCTTCTATTGGAAGCATATCAAATAGGGCCACCGCATCTCCCTCCTCACATTTTGCATCTTCATTCCTTCAAAAGCAAAAGTTTCTAACTTCGCTTATAAGTGTAAACTACGTAAGAAGTGAACAATGCAACGAGCAGAAACTGAGTAACTTTTTTGCACCTTAAATAACACTTACTCCTTTTTTTGCGTCCTTGCTATCCCCTCAGAATCAAATTCAATAGCCGGAATAAGTATTTTCAGTGCACTTTTCGCCGCATCTAACTTCGCTGCCTTCTTACTGTTTCCGCATCCTCTCCCAAGAACAACAAAATCTTCTGCTGAAAATTCATGAGCAAATTTACTTCACTAAACATTACATTAAAGGAGTTTCAACCTCTTTTAAATCTATTTTAGGCAGAAATCACTCAAAACATGCTTCCCAATTACAAGTTCAATACATGTCTTCTGCTCAATTTACAAGATAAATAAGTTTCCTCTCTTAAAGAGAAAAATAACTTAAAGTTAAGGACTTCAACTAACTCTACCAGAATTCTCCCCATTGTTCTGCAGCTCTTGATCTCTCTTTTCTTTCTCCTGTAACAGTAACAACTTCTCCTTGATAGTAACAGCATTCATAACCCGATTACTCAGGTTGATTTTCAATCGTGCACAACAGGCGTACGGAGTGGAGGAGTTCCTTGAAATAAAATGGTTAAAAAACAGCTTTTGGCTTCAATGTCAATTATTTCAACTTATGCTACTTTGAGATGAACTAGTTTAAAGATGAATTTGAAGCTTTAAAAAGACAGAAATCCTAGGAAAACTAACCTCGTTTCTTCAAATTCGTAACTAATTGTGCTCTTCAACACTTTCTGTACATACTCGTGCAAAATGCTCACAGAAGTTTTACCATGAGGATTCAAGAAGAAGCCCTTATGATGAGGTTTCTGATTATTTTCCAAAGCAGGAACAGTAATAAGTTGAACGTTCGATGGAAGCGCTAAAAATAATACAAGATTTATTGTACTGTAAAAAGTACTCCCTCACTAAATGACAGAAAACTTACTAGGACGCCCGGTCGGAACCTCAATTCCTGGAGCTAATTTACCTAGACGTTCGGCTTCTGCCATCTTTTTCTGACGATGAAAACTACGAGTGGCCGACCACTTATTGAAACGATATATCTGAAGTCCCAAGAACAGCGATAAAAATAACAAGAAAACATCAGAACTACGGCTTTCAAAGAGTGTGAGCAAATAAAAACTATGAAGGTGAACTCCCATAGAGAAACCAAAAAGTTATGAAAAAAATTTAACATGCCATGCTACTCACTTGGATAGTTTTAAAGCGAAAGACTTTCTTAGCGTATTCATGTAGTGCCTGAGGAGTTAACTGTCGTTGTTTAAAATCTTCAGCTGACTGGAATTTAACCTCAATGTGAAATGCACTTTAAAACTGTAAGCATTAGTAACAGGAGAAAAAAGTACTTGAACTTTTGTCCCTGGTGCTTGAAGCCGTGCAATAGTCAGTTTAGCAAGTTCTTCACGATCTGCTCCCTCAAGGTTACTGTTTGAGCTCTTTAAAGCTTCTTCAAGAGCTGCTTCACTTTCTTTTGCTCGCTCTTCTACTTGCTTCAAAACCCTCTTTTGATGAAGGCAGGGTATAGCCGACTCGGGAACCGAATGGTGACGAACGCTACCAGGCCCAATAAAGTACGGGCGAGAAAAGGTGCAAACTCTCGACGCTTTATGCTACAGAATAAAAATTTTATGAATAATGCTGTGTACGAACAATAAACCATTTTCTATTGTCAAAAAAAATAAAATATGTTAAGAGGAGATTACGAGGTATATAGGTAGACCAGAACTGTGTGTAACTTCGACCCAGCCTTCCGGTAACACGTCAAAGTAGTCTGTATCACGATGCGCCAACACAACCTTCTCTCTACAAAAACAGTATCACTTGCAGCTTAAAAGAGAATAATCTAAAAAAAGACCATGTTATAACAGTTACATTCGAGACCACTTAGGAGCCGCAAAACTTTAATAAAAGCAAACAAGTATTTTTAGAAAAGCAACCTCTTTTCCCCTTCTTCTGGTATTGTTAACTTACTCGTCTGACCATCTTCAAAAGGCCTTTCAAGCATTGAATCAATGGCCTCCTCGTCTTCCCTAAAAAAGTAATTACAGCTCCCTATTAATAATCAAGCACAAAAAGTTCATTGAGTTGAGGTTATTACGATGAGAATATGTCGCAGTTAAAATCCTCAGCTCCTTCTGCTGTTTTGCTGCTAGAGGGACCTGAAATTGAGAACTAATAAAAATATTTAAAATAAATATTCAAGAAAGTCAAGTTAATAATAGCAAGGATTCTAAAAAATGTCGTAAAAAACTGATTCTACCGGTCGATTGCCATTCCATGTTTTGACCTTCAGCATGGTGGACCTCGTCCCTCTTAATATTTTCTTCATTAGAAGCTGTATTTGGCTCGCTTTCACTTATGACCGGCGGCGTCGGAGGACGAGGAATTACGTCACTAGTGAACTGTTTGTAATCGGAGGAAGAAAATGAAACAATTTGCGAACTAACATTCAAGTCTGGGCTTGGTGCAATACAAACTCCAGATGAGACCTGTAAATAAAGTAAAAACAGGTTGCTGAAAATTTTTAAATACCCATACACATACTATCTATACTGTTACTGTATAATGAATGTCTAGAGGCTAAGACTGTGATTTAAAACTACAAGTTTTTGGTATACAACTTCTCAATGAGGTTTAACAGAAGTTTAAGGAAAAAATGCCACTGTTCCACAAACTAATTTCCACTAAACACATTCTTATACTTTGAAACCTTCGACAACGAGTACTATACCTAAAAAGTAAACGTGCTAGAGGTTCCAAAGCATCAGTTTTACCTGACTACCTTCAGCAATAAATTGATGCCGCAAAGCATTTTTGAAGAAATTTTCGGGCAGCAAAACAACTAATTGTTCTTTGCCTCTATCTTCCTAAAAAACCAGTCTACTCCTCACTAAATTAACCTTAAAATATATCTGTACAATGCTGTTCATAGTAAGTTGCAAGGTGCACCTCTCTTTTCAATACTCCTTTTGCTAAATTCTGCGCTCCGCCGGTCACTGTATATCAATTCGGAAAACCCCGTTAAAGCCTGAACCATGAAAACGATGTCAGTACTGTAACTGTGTGCGACTATATCAATGCTGTATTTCGGAAAGAAGCTGTTTCGGAACCAAAAACAAAAATATCTCTCAGCAAAATATTGCAATTTTGTTGCTGAGGCAGATATAATCCTTGTTTGAAACTACTAGTGCTATTTAAATATGACGTGCCATAAAAGCTAATTTCTCATTTAAAATGACACTAAAGAGTAAATTACAACTGTCTAAAAAAACGTTATTTCTTCCACCTCTAAATGCCAACTTGTAGAATTACTGTAGTACGCTTGACGTTTGCGAACTCAATGGGTATGCAAGGAACAAAACGTTGTAAGCCAACTTCAGTCAGCCAACTCCAAAAAATATTTCCATAATTAAGAAAATTAAATGAATGCACAAAGCCTGAGAAATATCCTTTAAATTTCAGTGTCTGCGAAGACGTAGGTGTTCATTGACGCAATCTGTCTGCACAAATTCTGTTCATGTAATTTCAATTTTAAGAATTGAATTACTGTTTTTTAACTAATAGAGCAACACTCGAAGGGGTATTTACTGAAAAATTCGTTGAATGTCCCAATGACGAACCACAGAAAGTTAAGATGGTAGAGACCCAATCAAGGTTTAGAGAAACAGGTTTGGAGAACCAAACTTTGCAAGAACTCTAAAACAACTGCTCCTTCAATTACAGTTTCAGTCTTCCTTAGTCACTCTTCCAAAACCTCTAAAACGTATTTCAAACTCTCCAATTTTCACTTCAAAATACTTCGCAAAAATTTCACTTTAAACGATACTTAAGGCACTTTGCTACGTGCCATTCTGTTTCTTGGTTTTCATGTATCTACCCAAACAATCAGCTCTTATTTTATCCTGCCAAAAATTTTTGGCAAGTGATACTCCATTTAACTGAGGAGAAAACCTATTCAAACCGACTTGCCCGTACCAGCTAAATTTTTTTCCTTCTCTGGGTACTAGCATTTTCCGAACAACACAATAATAAAGTTGAATTAAGAACTTTATGAACACTCATAGTTTTTGCATCATAACCAAAAATGGTTCTCAAGTGACTGCCTAATGCTTCCAAAACACTGTTCTTCACCCGCTTCCCCTCTTTTTTTTATATCTATTATCGCTAACAAGCACTGAGACACCTATACCTCATTGTACATTCATATTAAGAATGTCACAAACAAGTTACGAGTTGCTACAAAAATTTAGGATCAAAACGAAACTCAGTAACGGCACATCTGCTGTCTTCTGAACCGCATAGGATCCCTTTTGCACCAAGATTTGAATTGGTTTAAAAAAGTCTAGAGTACCATCCTCTTATAAAACGAATTCGATAAACACTGGCAGATATTACGGTTAGCAAAAGTGACTTTAAACTAACAGCATATACAAAAAGTTTTCAAGCCACTGTTTTACGACACTAAATACTTTTTAGGCAGAGTAAACTGACTGTACAGCGAAAATGACAAAAA